AAAAAAAAAAAAAAAAAAAAATGAATATAATATATTCTCCAATTAGACAAGAGATCAATTTATTTTTGTGCTGCTCATTCACTATTAGTGTGACTAATCTCTATTATGTTAGAATTATACATTCTTCAAATAGATAAGAGATCAAATTTATTTTTTTACAGCTATAATTCAACTACTGGTGTGGATTAACCTCTACTATGTTAGAATTCTCTATATGGATTAGAAATGCTCATCTACCCACGGTGGGCACATGTTAATATGCCCACCGTATATGTGACATGCATTCATTGGTGATGTTAATAAGTTTAAAAAATACATCACCAATGAGTACATGCCACCTACGCGGTGGGCATATTAACATGTGCCCACGGTTGGTAGGTGAACATTTCTCCTATATGGATATGCATACTGTATAGAATACTCCGTACAGTCCCATATTTAGGGCGTGATTGCATATGAATTCAATTAGTAAAAAATTGCTTTTTCCTTAATTATGGTTAAATTTGAAAAAATATGATATGGTTAGTTGTTAGTGGATATATTAAAATAATATTTAAAATAAAATAATTAAAACTGATTTGATATAAAAGTAGGAGAAAATGATTGGAAATGATGGTTAGCTAAAATTATGTGGTAGATGAATAGTGAATTAATGTTAATGTGATGTGTAAGAATGATTGGTTGATATTATTTAATTATAGTAAGAATATTGAAGATAGTAGAATTGTGTTATAGTTGAGTTAAATTTGAGTTTTGTTGATTTTTTTTTAATGTACAATCAATATACAATCGCCCCTTATCAATCCAAGATAATATATTGGTTTGAACTTCTTAAGAATTAAAAAATACTAATATAATACCCATGTATTACACGGGTACGTGTTAAGAAAATTATTAGTAATATTAAATTAGTCAATCAACATCAATACCAAATGTTCCCATACAACTTAAAGATTATATTAGTATTTTTAATATTTTTGGAATGTTCAAACCTAAAATTATTGAATTAGAATAATGTTATTTTTTATCCAAACCAAACTACGAAGCATGTTTTTTTTTTTCTCTAAGTAGGATTTCGAAGCGTTCCAGGCTGCCACTTAAGCTCAACACATTATATATTGGATTTAAACTTAGCTCTTTTAAGACGTTTTAAGACATTTAAAAATTTGAGGTATCAATTTGAGATTTAATTTAACTTATTTGATATTGAGATTTGATAGAAATTTGTAAGATTTAATAGGATTTTCAAAGGATATAAACATATGAGAAATCTCACTTCAAATCTCACCTGTAAACTTAAGATTCTAGAGGATTACTTGTAAAATAGTGAATAACCCGAGCGATGCACGGGGGTGCATAACTTAGAACGTATTTAAATACTTGATTATAAATATAATTATTTAAAATCTAATTATGGAAACAAGATAATTATTAAAAAAAATCATATGTTATTAAAAACTTCTCTGTACAAAATATTTTTTTGTTTGATTTGGATGCAATTCATGTACACCTCCTATTATTTTGAAATTATAATTTTAAACCAATTTTATTGCAAGAGTTACATTAATTCAGGATTGCTCCGCCACCTCCCATTAATAAGTGTGTTGATACTAAATTTGGCCTGATGAATGAAAGGATAAATGGAATAAAAAAGTACAGCACAGTAACCAAGGAGTCGAAAATACATTTATGCGAGGGAGCATATTATTAAAATAAATTAAAAATCTATTTTTGTGGGTTCCGCAAGGTCGCGTGTGACTTCGTTTACTGAGAATTGAATTGGGACGTGTAGATAATTCAGGCACGATGTCATGCATGGCATTGATCGAGTATTTCGGAGTTCCGAGCATTTAATTAGAGAAGCTTGAATTCCCGTGGGAATAGTAGCAAAATGAGTGAATTTGTCAAGGACGAGTTCGAGCGTTCGAGGCTTCATTTTAGTCCGTGAGAAATACATTTATCCAAAAATTGACCGGGCAATGATGATTGTGTAGACGGGTTCGTTGGCTACATATAAGAAGAAGCATAAATGAATTTCGAGCTTGGACAAGTCCGAATGGCCCTAAAAAGCAAAGTCGCGCGAAACACGTTTAACGTATTGGTCAAGAGCTTTGGGAGAATACAATTTAAGAATAATTTGGTCATGCAAGCATCATTGAATAGAGGGGTTCGTTAGCTACGTATAGGAAAAAATGAAATTCAATTTCGAATTCAGACAGGCCCAAACGAGCGCGAAACACAAAATACAATCACCCATTAACAAATTCTCCATGGGCCATCTATTTATATAATGAGTGATTTGTTAATTATTTAGCCCGTGAGGAAGAGACGTAGCCCAAAAATTGATCGGGCAATCATGGTTGTGTAGAAAGGTTCATTGGCGACATATAGGAAAAAGCGGCAATCAATTTCAAGCTTGGACGAGTCCGAACGGGCCCAAAAAGCAAAGTCGCGCGAAACACGTTTAATGTATTGGTCAAGAGTTTTGAGAGAATATGATTTCAAGAATAATTAGCTATGCAAGCATCATTAAATAGAGGGATTCATTAGCTACGTATAAAAAAAAAAAAAAAAACAGAACTCAATTCTGAGTTCAAACGAGCTCAAACGAGCCCAAAACACAAAATACATACTACGTATTAATTTTTTTATTAATTTTAAAATATAAAACGTATTATCAAAATTCGTTTTATTTATTAATTTTTTTAATAGAAAACGTATTATCAAAATACGTTTTATATATTATTATTTTTTTATTTTAAAAAATAACATAATTTTAAAACATATTATCGGAATACGTGTTTGTTAAAAAATTAATTAAAAAATGTATTATGAAAATACGTGTGTTTTACTTTTGTCCATAATTTTTTTTTCTTTTTATTTTTGTCCAATTATTTTTATTTTTTTTATTTTGTATATCTATATATCTATATAAAGAGGTTGTTGGAAAATTCATTTTTAGAAACTTTGACCAAATAAATAAATAAGTTGACTTTCTATGTTTAAACTATTTAAAACAATGGATAAGAACCATAATAAAACCTAAAGATAAGGCTTTTCAAATTTTTAAATTTTCAAAGATAAGGGTAAGAGCTATAATAATCGAACTTCAAAAGAAATTAATTAAAAATTTGATATTTGAGTCAATCCAACAATTGATAGAAATTGTAACAGAAAATCAAATATTTTAGGACCACATTAGAATTGCATTTATGAATATTTCACACCAATCTTATCATAAAGTTTCCACATTAATTAAACTTCTAAACAACTAAACCGATAATTTATAATACAGTTCATGTACACTTATATTATCATAATGTAAACAAGACGTGTACATTATCTCAGTTATCATAATTGAAGCAAGTTTAAACAACATAATTAGTATAAGATTCCTTAATATTTGACATTAAGTAATATAATAATATAGTTTATCATGCTATAGTATTAAAAAAAAATGAGCTAATGAGGAAACACGTGTAATGGGCAAGTTAAAACACGTTATAAAATCTAAACAACTTAATCAATTGATTAATTATCTAAATCATTTTAACTTATTTTATCATCAAATCAAAATTATTCTAAAAACTTAAAATGACGTTTAATTATGACACATGTGTACTAATTGGTCATCTTTCTACACGGATAAAAAATCTTAACGACTTAACTAATTAATTATTTTTCAAATCATTTGGACTTTTATTATAATTAAAACACAATTTGTTCAAATTCTTATTTTAAATTAATCTAAACATAAATGTATGAATCACAATATATGTGATCGATTTGTTTATAAACATTCATTTTCTGCAGTAAAAAAAATAAAAAAAAATAAAAAGACGACCGATACGACATAGAAAATTGGTCGGGGAAGGATAGGAAAAAATGAAATGAAAATCCGGATTTATGGCCTAATGTTTGTTTAATTAGTGTCGAAGTTATGGAACATAGTCCAATACTTGATATTTTTATGAAAAAATGCTACAAGTATATAATAAATATACATATAGGTGTACATAATACTCATATGGGATGAGGTCCACTTGATTTTTTTTATTTTTGGTGGGTCTCATTCAATATGAGTGCTATTTACGCCCGTATGTACAATATTATGTACCTATAACATTTCTTTTATTTTATATCCAATTAAACAAATGTTATTGTAGTTGATTATTATTATTATTATTATTATTATTATTATTATTATTATTAACAGCCATATCTATTCAATTTTATTATGACTATATACAAATTACCTTCAAAAAAACACATAAATTATAATTTTCCCGTGCATCGCACGGGAATTACTAGTATATATAAACTACTTGTAACTTTCCGTTTGTAATTTCATCATTGTGTTTGTAACGTGTTTTTTTACATGTGTGAATCATAAACGTGCACAACTTTCTCCATTAAAAGTTGTTTAATTTCTACACTCATAACAGCTTTCGCCATTAAACACTTTTTTTTTTTTATATATCACGTGGTAAATAATTAGCATCACAATCTAAATATTAAAGACAATGATCAATGCATTCATTTAATTTTCAACTAAAAACAAAATCGAGAAAATCACAATAGTAGAAATTTTGTATACAAATTCATTTAATTATTGCATTACCCATTTGATCGTTCAAGACAATATCAACAACAAATTAAGAACAGTACTAGCTAGTTTTGTATTTTGCTAACAAAAAATTATCTCTTTTGCATATTTTTAAGATGACTGATCAAAAGCTGCTGCAGGTGTTCTGGAGAAGCTTCAGCCGCAAGGAACAGAAAATATTTGGTTGTGGAGCTCTCATTGCTACTTGTCTCATTATTGCACTCACATTCTCCACTCTTTTCATGAAGCCCTATCTTCATCCTATATCAACATGTAAGCTCCTGATCAGTCTTTGATGATACAATATTTTCACTTAATTCTTCTTATTAACGGGAGCGTCCCGTTGACGGAATATGATTCCGTCAGTACTATTTGTTACCGTAGATCATGTACACAATATGATCTACATGTGTATCTAATGGTGAAAAATACTGGCTGAACTATCCAGTAAGGGGACCATATGTAGCATTTTCCCTTATTAACATGGCCACAGGAGGATCTGTATTATATTATTCACTAATGCTTTTCTATCTGTTTTTTTTTTTTTTTNNNNCATTTTTCTATCTGTTATTCTTAATATTATATTATTGCTTTTAACCTGCAGACCACGAGAGTGTAGCTCAAGTGATGTCCGTCGCCGTTTCCATAGGAAAGAGCTTTCACCAGAGTGCAGCGGTTAATCGGAGTATTATTCGTAGCTGGAGCAATTCAAGATCGGATGTGTATGAAATAAGTGGCGACGTGAGATTAGTCCACGGCCGCCGCTCGTCCACAATCTTCGTAGATTCTCCTATAGTTATAAACAACAACGCCTCCGGGTGGACACTGAAACCGTACGCCCGAAAATTCGACAAGGTCGCCATGAGTAAGGTCTCCTCTCTAACACTCAGACACGCAATACCGATGCCTAATGACTGCGACAAGACGGCGCGGAGTAGTACCCCAGCCATCGTCTTCTCCACGGGCGGCTACGTAGGGAATCATTTCCACGCCTTCACCGACATCCTCCTCCCCCTCTACTCCACGTCCGTTCGGTTCAGCCGGGACGTGATCCTCCTCATGCTCGACGGCTCCCCCTCGTGGGCCCACAAGTACAAGAACATCCTCGACCGACTCTCCCAACACAACATCATCTTCGTCCACGAGCCCGAGAACCGTGACCGCGTGTTCTGTTTCTCGCGGCTCATCGTGGGCCTCAAGGCCAACGAGGAGGAGCTCATGACCGACGAGCGCTCGATGCCCGAGTTCACCAAGTTGGTCCGGAGCGCGTACTCCCTCGAGAGGGGTGCCGTGAATCATTCGAAAATGATCGTCCCCAAGATGCTCGTGGTGTGTCGGAGGAGGGGCCGGCGCCTCGTGAACCGGGCGGAGGTCGCCCGTGTGGCGCAGGGGCTAGGGTTCGAGGTGGCGCTGCGGGAGATGGGGGAGGAGGTGGCGGAGGCCGCGCGGCTCGTGAACGGGTTCGACGTGATGGTGGCGGTCCACGGGGCGGGCCTCACCAACATGGTGTTCCTTCCACAAGGGGCGGTTGTGGTGCAGGTCGTGCCTTACGGGCTGCACTGGATAGCCCAACGATGCTTCGAGGCCCCGGCGCGGAGCATGAAGCTGAGGTACCTCGCGTACGAGGCTGGCATAAACGAGAGCTCGTTGGGAAACGTTACGAACCCGGACACGGTAAGCCGACAGGGGTGGGGTGCTTTTAAGGCTCTGTATTTGGACGGCCAAGATTTGCGGGTGGATTTGGGTAGGTTTAGGGGGACTCTTATGAAGGCACGGGAGCTGCTCCTGGCGGACAAGAAGTGAGGAAAAATGATGAATATGTGTGAGATGTTTTAATTTTATTTTCTTAAGAGGAGTGTGTGTGTGTGTGTGTGTGTGTGTTAGCAACAAATCAAGAATCAAGAATATCTATTGAGGGGTAATTGAGATGTCTTTTGAGTTGTGGGACTACTAAAAAATGGAGGAACTCTGGGAACCGAAAACGGACCAACAAAACACAAACCTCCTACAAACTAACTAAACAAACACATGAAAACAACGAAGACCTCCCCTACCGAAACACAATCCCAAAGCCAACACAACCAAACGAACAACCAATCGCGACCAGCCGAAGATAGGGTTGTAAACGAATGGAATCAAAGCAAAATATGAAGATATTTGATTCGAATTGGTTAAAATATGCGAAGCTTCGAATTTGTATTCGATTCTTAAACCAAGTCATATTCTGTTTCGTATTCGATTCGTTTAGAATATTTGAACATATTCGATTCGATTCAAAATTCGTTTTCACAAAATATTATAATTAAAAAAATTATAATTACTTGGTATTGTTATGTTTTTCCCATCCAATTTGAGATGATTTTTTTTTTTGGCAAATTATTAATTTGGGATGTTTTTATTTTTTATATCATAAAAATATTATGAATACAACAATATATATATATAAATATATTATTAACAAAATTTTAATACTATATATAATTTTTTTAAATTTATATAATTATTCTTAACGAAATGAATATCGAATTTTGAGTCAAATAACTAGTCATTTGAATTTGAATTCGTTTAACTTTTGAATATAAAATATTATTCGTATTCAAATTCGAATTAGAATCACGAATCGAATTCAAATATCGAATTGAATAAAAAAATTCAATTTGTTTACAAGTCTAGCAAAGAAGAGACGCCAAAGACCTTTCAGTCCAACGCAAATTTACTTTCATATTTGTCGTATTGTGCTTAAATCGCTGCAATTCAGCATATCGGATCATGTTTGGTATGTGTGCTCATTTATAATCAATTCAATTCACATTTTTTTTACTCAAAATGTTCTCTATGCTCTAAGGCTAATCATTTTTAGATTAGTAAATTAGTAATTGATGTCCATTAATTTTTTCAGTTCTAGTTTTGTTGGAATTAATCTCTACATAGTAAACTAATTCAGATTTACCAAAAATTAATGGTAAATAATCATCAATTTAATTATTTATACAACTTCTCATAATTTAATCTATATAATTTATCAAGATTATCACTAATAAACACTAGGTATAACAACAAGAGCGCGGCTCAAGCAATCATTCCTATATATAATTTCAGAATGTGCTGAGCCTACGTGGCTGCTTCTGGTGCTTCGTAATCCTATTTGGCGTTCGTAATTAAATTTGGACAAATAATATTGATATATTAATAAATAATAATTTGGGTTTGGACATTTCATAAATATTATTTAGCTAACTTAGGTATTTTAATATCAATTGTACTAATATAACTCTTAAGTATTTTACATAGTAAACTAAGTGACTAATTGTACTAATATAACCCTTAAGTATTATCGGTTTTACATATATAATATATCAAATTAATCATCTTTTGATGATCTTCGATTTGACATCCATATTGTATATATGAAATAAATAAATTATATTTATCTTTATAATAAAAAAATAATAATATTTATTAAATTTATTAGAAAAATAAAATTATTTGTAAATTGATATATTTATGTTTAATGTAGTTATTTGTTGTAAGTTACAAAAATTAGTACAGTATAACACGTGTAAGTCGCACAAATAAAAAGTATCATACTAATTATATTATAATATATATATATATATATATTTTTTTATAAAAGGTATTTAGGTTTTCTACTATTTTTCTCATTAATTTTATATTTTATGAAAAAAATTAGCACACACCCGTGTAATACACGGGCGTTGAACTAGTTACTATGATATATGTAGTACAAAACTAGTATTAATTATGTGCACATGCTATCAAAAATAAATATATATTACATACTAGTTTGATTCTGGCTGTGCACAGCACAGCCTGGCCCAAATTGGTTTTTATTTAAAACTGAATAATAAAATAGCTATATTTCAATATATATACGGCTTACTACATAAATCACCACCTACATACAAATTAAATAAATATATAACAGCTATACTTGGACATTAATTTCAACATAAGGCTCTACCCAACAAATGAAATAATGAACACAATTTTATATGATTTGTAATGACAAAATCATGTCTTTTGACCAAGTGCCTCGAAAGTCTTAGGGTGTGATTGTTTATGGATTCTAACTAGTTTTTATTTGGTTTGTTTTTTTAACTATAGTTAACTTTGGAAAAAGTGGTATGATTAGTTGTTAGTGGATGTATTAAATAATATTTAAATAAATTAATTAAAGTTGATTTGATATAAAGTAGGAAAAAAATGATTGGAAGTGATGGTTAGTTAAAAATTATGTGAGTGGATGAATAGTGAATTAAAGTTGATGTGATGTATAAAAATGATTGGTTGATATTATTTAATTATATTGATAATATGAGAGATAGTGTGGTTGAATTAAAATTGAGTTAAATTTGAATTTGGATTGGTTTTTTTTTACTGTTGAAACTATAAACAATCGTCCCCTTATTTTTTCTATGCATGGCCATTAATATATCAAAAAAATAAGAAGAATCTGTTTTTGGAAAACAATGACAACCCCAACAATGCCTTTTTTTTTATGGCTTTTGTTCAAAAAAAATTTGAAACTTCGAAAAAAGGCAGCAAAAACTTCGTGTGCATAATATTCAGGGACAATGATTTTTATTTATTTTTTAATCCAAATACTCTTCGTCTCTCCACACATACGAACCAAAAGTCGTATATACATATGTGCACGTACAGGTAGCCATAAAACATGTCGCTATAGCTGCAACCAAATAAGGCATCATAAGAAGTAACAACAACAAACGCCCACAAATAAAATTGGTGATTACTACATGTGATTGAATAAGACTTCTTAAAAAACAACCGAATAGAAAACGAAGAATTCAACTAAACATAAATAATCCAAAAGAGGACTCACGATGAAAAAGATGTCAACATGAAGAAGAGCCATGATGTCAGTTGCAAAATGAGTCGTTGGATGAGCAACAATAGGCACGCATCAACGTTTTATATAAATCATAAAGATATATAGCAAAAATATTTGCACAGAGAACATAAAAAAAAAAAGCCAGAAAAATTATGCTTGAACCTATAACATAGCAACAGACCACACAAAATAAAAGTGAAACATAGATGATACGAGAAGAAAATAAAACCACTAAAAAAGCAAGCATGTACACCCAAAATAGGTCCATGAATTTGTTTTGGAGTATTTAATATAGCAGAGCAAAGGTGAATAGTTGAAACTAATGTTCATTTGATAAAGCATCTACTTGCTCTTTCATTGGCACCTAGTTGAAGTGAGGAAATAAATAAAGCAAGGTTAGCGTAACTACTTAATCAATCAAAGGGTTTAAAAGTCCCAAAATAATTGTTTATATATTAATGCTCAAATATATGTCATTATCATAACAGATCTGTAGATACATATAACAACACAAGTTCAAGAATAATATAGCTCAATAATTTGCTTCTATGTTGTTGCATCCCTCTTATGGAAGGTAATTGCATATATTTCAGAAAGATATTAATCTATCACAAATTATAAACCAAAAAAATGTTAACAATGTTATATAGGAAAATTACTTTGGCAAATTTGAAAGAGAGTGTAGAGCAACTCGGTGATCAATGGAACACCTAGGAAAGAAAAGTAAGTTGCTTAGTAAAACACACAATATATTACCTGGAGAAGAACTAGTTCTTCTCCAGGTAATAATCTAACCCATTTACGGCTTTGGGACTCTTATCAGGCACATCAACAGAAGCAAACTGCATAGCTTCGGTAGTGCTGACACTCTTAGCCAGGAAATCTTTCGAAACACCATCTTCAGGACTATCAACTTTCTTTTTCTCATACTTTGCAAGATCCTCACCCCAACCAAGGCGAGGCTTTTCCTTGAGCCAACGTCGTTGGATGGAGACTTCTTATACTTTTTTCTTCTCATACGTTCTTGTTCTCTACACATTTCTGATTGCACACGTCGTCGTTAGATTTCCCTGAACCACCAGA